AGGGGAATTATCCTGGGTTGCTGTTAAGGAACTTAAATTAAGTTACTATATTGGGCAAACCCTATTATTTACTATATATACCCATTATGGTACCTTAATTTAAGTTCCTTAACAGCAACCCAGGTTTTCAGAGGGCATACCGCAGTGGTTGAGTTCATGATTCAGAGTGGTGCGGATGTCCGTCAAGCCGATGAGCACGGCCAGCTCCCATTGCAGATTGCATGTGCGGAGGGTCATCTTGCCATCGTAACCTTGCTGGCAAAGGCCCAGGCCACATTGGGTTGGGACCTTCAGACGGACGAGCTTCTGCACGCCGCTGTGAGTAGTAGCCAGCTTGAGGTTGCCCGGTTCTTGGTGCAGGCTGGTGTTGACCCCTCTGGGGTCGATGCAAGTGGCGAGACCCCGCTACAGGTAGCCCGCCGTCAGGAAGACTCAGACTTGATCCATCTCTTGGAGAACGCTGCGGCCCAGATGAGTGTGTCCAGGCGGTGTGCTGATTCCCCAAACCCATGCCTGAACCACATTTTCCAGGAAAGGCAGCTGTGGATGACTCCAGTTCAGACCTAGGTAGGGAAACTCCAAGTAATAGTCAGGTAATATCCTAACTTTCTACAGCCCCAGGATCTAGATTATCCGAACGGTTGGTGATATAGCTACCTAACGTTAAATCAAGGGTTCCCCAACCACCCCGCCCAGAGGGACACCCCTGAAACAGAGTACGGATCATAAACCCTAAGCCCTAAACCCTATACCCTAAATCCTAAACCGAAATAACAAGAGTACGGATCAGGGTCCCGGCTTCTTGGGGTGGGCTGGTTGAGGAATGCTACACCCTAAATCTTACATCCTAAACCTTAAACCCTAAATCCTACACCCTAAGCCCTGAACCCTTGATTAGACATGAGGATGGTCGTATGGCAAAGCTATGCGCCGTTTGTCGTTTCCAGTTGATCCTGAGAGTTGGGCCCCATCGAATGGGCACTAATGTAGGGGCCTAAATAGTTACCATTTCAGTTTAGGGGTTAGGGTTAAGGGGTTTAGGGGTTTAGGGGTTTAGGGTTTGGGGTTTAGGGGTTCAGGGCTGCACCTGTAGTCCCCCTCCAGTAGATGGAATATGGGGTATATGCAGATGTTTTTATGGTTGGGGGAATTCCATGTTCTATCTACGTAAGGGGGATTATAAACAGTTACCAACATCATTTTCCTAGATTCCTTGTATAGTTATGGGTAAAAGTATGGTATAGGGTACCTGGAGAAGGCCTGAAAAAGATGTTGGTGATTATCTAGGCCCCTACATGACTCTGATCTTCCAAGTTCCCGAATTCATGCAGGAGGGGTGGCTGTACATGCACTTGCGAGGCAGGCACGAGGTCAGAGGAGGATGACTGATGAGTTCGCCTGCACCGCGATAAAAGATTGGGACATTATGAAATCACCAACCTGTGTGCCAGGTCTTCTGCTTATCCTGACGTGAAGTTGAAACTAGTTCCCGTCTCCGTTTTGCTGTCAGTTGATGTTCTCAAAAGATCTGTGAGCAGGTTGATCTTAGCACATCGTCGAGTGCGGACGACAAGTATGACTTTGAACACATTGTTATAGTTTTGTACGTTCTTATATCATCTAGCTTCCATTTCATGTCCATTGGCTTTTCCATTCAGTTCTCCATTATTAATGATTCACCCTAGCTATCCCGGTAACACCTTCGACGGGGCCGGGGCGTAAGCCCCCAAACATCGTTTATGAATCTGCCCCCGATTATAGTTTCCATTCTATTTTCCATTATCCCTATATTACCCCAATATACTATAGTAGTTTCCATTTTATTTTCCATTATTCAAGGCAGGCCAGGGTGTGAGCGCTTTTGCTTCCAGTGAAATTGTTCGAAATTCCTCCCACATGGTTTAGGGTTTCGAGCGCTCTTAGCTTTCTCATATGTTTAGAGTGGTTCATGTGATGAGATGCATGCATGGCTGCAAACGTTGTTATTCTGGTGTTCTTTGTATGACCATAGGACGGCTGAAGTTGAGGTACTGGTGATATAGGGAGCATGATCGGGGAGTATACGCCAACTATTGTCGGGATCCAGTCTCCTTTAGATCAGAGATTGCAAAAAGGTGAGGTAAAGAGAGGTGGGGTATAGGAAACAAATCCCAACATAATTATGGAATCTAAAATAGGAATTCGTTTGTCCACCTACCTTCATCCCACCTTTTGAGCCCCTGATTTGTAAGTCTGAGTCTGGAGTGTTGGGGCTTCAATAATTTCCTAAACCCTAAACTAATTACTTACCAAGATGATGGCGCTAAGTTCCCTGAAAAACGACGGCATAGGATGCCTCAAGTAACCCTAAACCCTAAACCCCTATAGGCTAGGGTTTAGGGTTTAGTAACCTCAAGGACCTCAACTTGAGTATTCGGGGCCCTACATACCATAATTCCTAGGGCCCCTTATGTTATTCCGGTTTCCGTGTCATTTTCAATTTTTCCCTTTGGTTCTCCATCTATGGTACCCCAAACCTTAAATCCTAATTCTTAGCGCTAGGCTGCTATGTAGCCTCAATCATCGCTCTGCAGAGCCAGATGGGCAGTGTAAGGTTCAGAGCCAGCGTTCAGCGTTTAGGTTTAGAGTCCCCCTTAAGTAGATAGCATATGGCCTTGAGTATATTATAATGAGATCCCCATATGCCCCATATTCTATCTGCTTAAGGGAGACTATACGCTAAACCCTAAATCCTAAACCCTAAACCCTGAGCCCCAAACCCTAAACCTCTCTTTCATATAGTAATTTAAATGTTAATGTCCTTAATGGGCAAGGTCTTAATGGGCAAAGTCTAAATAGGGAAGGTCTTCATGGACAGGGTCTTGATGGGCAAGGTCATGGGTGCAGTGTTTAGAGTTTAGGATTCATGGCTTCGAGTTTAGGATTCGGGCCTTAGAGTTTAAGGTTCGAGCCTTAGAGTTTACAGTTCAAGGCTTAGAGTTTAGGGTCCAGGGCTTAGAGTTTAGGGTTCCGGATTTAGAGTTTAGGGTTTGGGTTTCTAATGATGTGGGACCCAACAGCCGGGTAGGTATATGACCACTGTTTTGATAATGCTCCTCAACAAGTTAATGCTTCTACTTGAGATGCTGAACCCTAAACCGCATTTTCTATCTACTTAAGGGGGATGCTAAGGGTGTAGGATTCAAGGCTTAGGCAACAGCCAAGGTGAGGTTCTTTTTGCAGGATGCCTCAGGGGTTTAGGGTTTAGGGATTAGGGTTTAGGGTAATGGGTTGTTCTAAAATTTATGGGCCCCTTTTGGGTAGATATTATAGTGCGGCACCTATAATTTAGTCAAGGGTTCAACTAGTACCCCCCTCTATACTACCCCCCTAGGTTCCCCCCTTCATTAACCTCAATTAGGCTTAATTATCCCTAAATAACCTTAATTAAGCGGGGGAACCTAGGGGGGGTAGTACAGAGGGGGGTACTAGGGGAACCCAT